GGATGCTTCCAGGCTTGGCAGCGGCGCTGGGATCGTTGTGTTCACTCCCAGGGGAACTACTTCGAGGGTGATGGATGAATTTAATACCTGAGATAAGTGTACGGGTTTTTATAGGCGCAGTCTTGAAACTTTCCGATCGCACCTCGTACATCAGCTTCCATACATGATTTCGTTGAAACTTCGCATATGACAAGTATAAGAGATTTTGTTAAAGAGGTAATGAAGTTTTCAATACGGAAATACGCAATGAAGTAACATGTCTTACACTTACATAAAATGAGATTTTGTTTAATTCTATTGCAGTTCTATCTTCTCTGGTTTTACTTTCGTTCTGGTTGTCACCATCGGAAGAAAGTAGAATAAACATCTTATGCGTCAGTTTAATTTGTCACTGCGTGTATCTAACGTATTTGGGCGCAAAATTGAACAACACTGGAGAGAAGAGCCCTCTAATAGGTAAATATATATTACGTAAACTTTGATGAAATTAGAGCGATTAACAAATTACTCTTGCAGATTTTAACAGATGGACGAACTTTGTCATTAATAAAGGCATTGCATTTTCTGACGTATACGTTTTCTGTACGCAATGTAATAACAGAATTGAGTTGTAAGTTTAATGATGCATTTTTTATATCTGTCATACGTCAATGACGACACCAACTTTACATGTGTTAGGAGAAAAGAAGGCAGTGAAAACGGAATTAATGGTATTATGTATTGCGGCTAAATGTTATCGTATAATTTCAGAACACCTACACATGGTAATATAACCATCTTACGTTAAAAAAATTCTAGTCTATAATTGCATATTTATTTGAATTTAACAAGAAAGTAGATAAACGAATAAAACATTACAGTTAGTTCACGCTAGTCTAGCGGTTAGAACGCTGGCCTTGTAATCCTGGAGTCTCGGGTTCGATTCCCGGCGGTGCCCGAATTTATAACTTGTGTTGGGCAAGGCCATGGTCTAGGCAACACGGAGTTTTCCTCCGGGGGCTTCCCCGGTTTCTCCGTGGCATCCCAACAATTACTCCATTCACACACAGAAGAAGGCAATGGCAAACCACTTCTGGATCATCTGCCAAGAACGTATATGAACAGGTCCCAGTCCGAGAAAAGGATGGAAGGATCCTGTTCATATGGACCTGTCGTCAGACAGAACACTAAATAATAATAATAATAATAATAATACTAATACTAATAATGTATTGAAGCAATGATTATTTTATACTTGGCTGATAACACGCATTGATATGAATTATTGCAGTTCTGTGTTATTATTAACGGGAATGTTATAATTCTTCTCAATACCACGTTATTGTTATAGACTCAAGAAATATTTGTGTTCTGAGTAAATTATAGGCACTTCTCATCTTTTTCATATAAAATCGCCAGTAACGTATTTATTTCCATTCTTAAATCCGCACAAAAAGCGAATGAGAAGTTGCGAATGCAAATTTGTCTGATTCCAGTACAGCTATTTCGTGACTCGTTACTACTGTCAGGGGTGTCGTTTGTGGTTGCCATCGTTTTGCGGTATTTGGTCTCTGCTTCAGCAACACCTCCTCGTTGGGTGTCTAGGATCATAAGATGGACACTGAGCTACCGTGCTGGTCAACTTTTCCTTCTGACGAAAATATCACCAGCGGTAAATATTTAAATTCTGCGACAATTTAATCAGCAGCATCTTCTTAAAAGGTTGTGACATTTATTTTCAGTCAAAAATGTACCTATTAATATAATAGTTATTCTTAATAACAGTATTTTATAGAAATTCAGATGTTTCTGAAGAAAAGTAACATATCAAAATTTAATTTACAGGAATATTAAGAGAAAATTGAATTTGGGGAATGCGGGTATAAATGTTTTCTCTTTTAGCGTCTTATCTTAGAACGTAATAAAATACGGGCCTACATTGCTGTAATATTATAATTTATTTGTTATGCTGTCCGATTGAAACTTAAATGGTCTTTGATTACGTCTTTGTTTTGATTCAAAGGATGAACTGCGTTGCTTACATTTTTATAATCTGTATAATACGAAGTTTGAGAAAAATCCCACAATGTGAAATATCACGAAAATCTGTTCAGCGATTCTCAATTGTTTATTACGTGACATCAAATGGACAAACGGACGGATGAACAGACATTGTGTAGCTATTAGGTGCATTTTTGCAACTTATTGTTGCAAACGTGCCTTTAAACAAAAGAAGAATACTTATGTGAATATCGGGCCAGAGCGAATAATCGCTCGTCACTAAAAAACCGGAAATATTATTCCGAAACCAAATTTACTTTATTTGAGTGAAATAAGCGTTTTAACGCCAGACTTGTGCAAATATTCTGTACGCTGTCTACTTTTAATATTAAAAAGTACGCACTGCCACTAGGCCTTAGAAAAGAAACAACGAATTATTAATTTTCTTCGCGTTGTAAAGGGAATTTATGAAACTTTAGTTACGAAGTTTAATGCAAAAATTTTTCTTTATTCATTTGTGTTTTACTTATATTTATCAGCGTTGTGCTTAATTACGAAAAGGATAAAATCAGTTACGGTAACTTTATTGACGACTTTGCTAAAATGGATTGGCTTTAAAATACCATAGTCTGCTATAACTATTGTAATTGAATAAAAATTTTCTTGGATATTATCCATCGTCTAGTAAATATAAAACGTAAAACGACGTTTCGGAGAACTATTGTAATGTTTGGAGATTGTGTTGTGACACTTTGTTTAAAGAATTGGTTTATACGCGTGTGTCTCGCATGAAGCACTCTGCAGATCAGAGTTGGAATAAGGGAGCCCTCTTTAATGTTTTTCCTCAGGATGCAGCAATTGTGGAGGAGGAAGGAGAAGAAGAAGTTGGGCTTATAGGGACACCAACCGCAGTTGGCGTACGTGGATGGACTGCGTTCGGCAGATTGCTGAATCGTGTCTGCTTTATAGTGACCTTATTCGTGTATTTGTTAATATTTGCAAGATGGTTGACTTAAATGAGGAACCATTTTCAATGTAAATATACCCCTATTTTATTCATAACTTAGTAAGTATGTTTCTAAATATCTTTAGCCATGTTGATGCTAGTCTTTATATTAATAAACCGTTTCCTGTTTATTTATTTCCGTGGTGAGTACTCTCTTTGATGTTGAAAAGTCACCTACAGCTGGCGAGAAATGAACTAAAACTTTTGATTGTGAAGCAAATGATATAAAATTTATAAGAGAATATCAACTAATACGTTAATCACTTACAAAATGATAAAATCTAAGAATTAAATATGTCATAGCAATTCCCAAAAGAACAGAAGTTCTAAATGAGAGTTGAGTTGTTACTTGGCCGAGGATTAAGATGGCTGTTGTCTTGAATTTAGCACCGTACAGTCCACAGATACCAACCAGTAATTCAATATTTTACGAAAATATTTTCACACAGAACACAGTTTTTAATGTGAGCTAGAAGAAACATGACACGATACCAGTTACATGCGTTAAATATAATGGCCATGCAATTGTGAAACATTGATAGTATTCTCATGGACGTCGAAAACAAGGCAAGGCACACGCGGTATCTCCCTTAACATTGGAGGTATAGCTCCACTCATTCTTAACCGTGGAAGCAGATAGAGATGAGTGACAAACCTCTGTTCACTTCAGGGGGAAGATACCCCGGTGCCCACCGAGAGTAGGCTCGGTGGCTTCCAGAACTGGTTTAAACGTGAACTTTCGCCCGCTTGCATGCTGCGATAAACCTCTTAAAATTCATAACCGCTTCCAAATAATTCCATTGAGCAAACAGCACATCTAACCAGTAAAGAAATTTCCCATCTTTCACGAAATCTGAAGGTTCATTATCATGTTCACAAAAGCCTCCCTACGGTCCCTTCCCAGAGCCAGATAAATCCAATCCAGATCCCCACTCGAATATTCTAACTCCCTAATTGTTTGATTTATAAAAATATTGGTGACTGACTCGTGATTTAGAATACGACTATTCTTTTCAAGATCGTCCCCTCTCGACGTGCATAACCTCGCAAGGAGATGTCATACAGAATGATCAAACGACAGAGACATGAATCTATAATTTCGTTTCCTGTAGGAAATCTAATATTTTAAAACTCTGCAGTTACTATCACATTAAAAAAAAGTAAATTTTATAGTTGACTGTCACTCTGAAGTTATTATCACATTAAAAAAAGTAAATTTTATAGTTGACTGTAGCAACTCGTACAAACGTTTTGAATGTCAGCTGAGGCAAAGACTACTCTCGCATGGAATCGAATTCGTCTTTCGGTTTACGTGGGTGGGTGGATGGAAGAGTATCATTAATACATGCTGTCTTTTGTAGTTTAGCCATCGTCTGTTTTTTTTAAGTATTAGCAATTTTAAAACCTTAGAAATCACTGCGTTTCCCTCGTCTTCATGTAAAACAGGGGGGGAGGCATCTTTTCTGTTCGATGTGATAGACGAGCTGTTCCCAATGTCTGGACCCCGAGTACAAAATACTTTGGTTTACGTCTATTAATTAGAGCTTCTTTCTGCTAGAAGTAATGTATAAACTTCTGTTAAAATTACAGGGATATTCTGAGCCAGAGACCTCCATGCAGAATGTATCGATTTTAGATGTTTACTAACGTCGCGACGGAGTGCTTAGTACTCCTTTGTCGTAATTGGGATGTCTAGTGCTCAGATGTCAACCCTGTGAACGGCTATGCTGAGTTCTTTTGTAGTTTTCTACGGTATCTCCAGACGAATGTCAAGATACTAGCCTAAATTACGTCACGCCTTTCCAGTTCTCTCGATCATTCGAAGATGTATCATCTGACATTTACAGTGTCGTAAACGAAACACAAGGAAAACTATAATAACGTTCTCTTGTTTCATACAAGTTCCCATTATTATAAAATTCCTGTTTCGTTTTCAGCAGAGATTCTTATGACGCATTGTTTTTCCTTGTCATGACTAAAAATACGCAGGGACCAGGGGGCAGAAGACAGAATTTACTCTACTAGCAACGTACGAACACTTGATTAACATTTACGGGAATATCGGTTCAGCGTTCAAGTTCTGGATCTGAATTACATCACCGACGTCATGAAACTCACAACCACTCCTGGAACAGGTGTCAGTAAAATTGAGCAATTGTCGGAAATCATAACACGCAGAATTTGGATCTTACATTTTTTATCTGACCGTATTTGTCAGCCGCCAAGAAGCAGCGAACTGATGTGTGTGTCTCAGGTTGACTATGGTTTCATTTTGTCACTAGAGTGCAGAATTCCTCCGGTTCATCCATGACTTCTATTTCCGTTAGTTCTATAAATTCATAGCGGAGAGAACTACGAGACGAGAAGCCCATTTCTGTGTTTGGGTCGCTGGACCATTTCAGCTACTTCTCCGAGTAACGAAATTGCACATTCTTTCGCCCTCAATACAGACGCACATACGTAAGCGTTATCAGCATAAATGCATTCTAGTATCAATGGAGTAATCTGAAACACGTGGGCGGTCTGAGGTTAATATTACATGCGTTGCCAGAGAACTGTTCTGTTGTCCTGCCAGTGATAGTTTACGTGCCATTACGCCAAGATTTGTTAGTTAATTATGCATCAACTTCATAGTTTCATCTTTATATGTTTCTTTTCTTTCAATGGTAATTTTTTTTAAGTATAGGTTTTTATTACAAGACTGTCCTACATTAATATAATTAATTATCTGAAAATACTAACATGTTTCCTGATACGTTTATGCCTCGTGGTAAGTTATATTTACGTGATTTTATCCGTATGGTTTTGTGGTTTTAGTGCTGAGAAAACACGGTATTATGCTGCGTATCGCGAAAATAGATGAGCGATTTTGAAGTGATTAAAATTGGTGAACTGCTTGTTTTTATCGTTATATTAAAGTTGCGCCTTCTCTGAAAGTCGTTAAACGAATTTAAAATTTTAAACAGTAAAATAAATAAACACATGTAATATATTACGTAAATCATATATATGTATATATATATATATATTTATTGTAAAATAATGCCTAATCTAAAATGAACAGTATTAATGACAACAAAGTGTTAGATGAAAGAACAAATTGAATAATCAAAATGGACCTGCTGTATTCAACATCGACGATTCACTCAGAGGTAGAAGTTCAGGGCTGAGGGTCTGAGGTTCGGCTTATCGTGTTTTCTTCGCAGAGAGAAAAGAAATCTCTAAGGGCTCCAAAGAAATGGATATCACTAAAATTTGTATGAATTACTGCTTTATGGGTGAAATTTGTAAATTGAGAGAAAATAAACTCTTGGACGAATGTAATTGTTATTAACAGACATAATATCGACGACTTCAAGAAAAGTAACCCTGTTCAATATATATTGATATATCCAGATAAAAGTACAAATATTTTTCATAAGCTGATTTAAATAAATAAATAAATCGTACAGTCATATTAATTTATCTCGCAAAAATATTTGTTCTCGTGTAAATATTTCATATTTGTTGACTCACGTATGACGTACGTCCGAATATATGTATGTGTATTATCTTTCCTGAGAAGAGGAGGACAGGGACAACCCAGAAACAAGATGAATGTCCTAAATCAGCGTTTCTCAACCTATGGTACGCGAGCCAATGTTGAGTGGTATGCGAAATAAGTAAGAAAATCAAAAATATAATATGAACCTAAATAAATTTTCCCTGAACGCATTTGGTAAGTGGTACATTTAATGTGTTAAATTATAATTAGTGGTACACCAACGATAAAGGGTGAGAACCCCTGCCCTGAAGAATATTGCCACAAGCTTTATTTTAAGCAGCGTCGTTTACGTTAATTGCGTAACATCATAGGGCAGGCCTTTTATGATGATGCAAACCAATTTTCAGTAGTGGCTGAGAAAGACTGCAGTACCAGTCCCACACCAAAGGCGGAAACACTTCATTTGAAGGAAGACATTCTTTTTGACTACGACACAACTGTGAGGCCAGTGCGTAATCATGGCACCCAGACCGTTGTAAACGTCGCCATGTTTCTCAGGAGTATCAATTTCGTGAGTAATGCTCACATAATTACAATAGTTCTAGTAATTAAACATTTAAAATATTTTATGAATTTTGAACCGTCGCCATGAAAAATAAATCGAAGTTTTAATTTATTGTTTTGCAAGATTTGTGATACAAAATTTCCTTAATATTAAGTCAGGGCATCTGTACATATTTATTATTCCTTAGAAGTAAAGGTGTAGATTATGCAATTACTCTGTATAAACTGCAAAGATTATTTTTATATTAATTTGTCACTATTTATTCTTCACAGGAGACATATTTAAGCTCCATTTATATAAACTGTTGGATGGTATGGGTAAGTAATGCACTAATTATTTGAGAATAATAACGTATTTTGAATGATTGGTACAAATCAAATACATAAAATTTTACTGCCTTAGTCTTATAGTCATCTTTTTATTCTATAAGCCATGTCTTTAACGTAAACTATATTGGACTTAGATAAAACGCTGTTACATTAGAACTAGTACTTTATCCATTATTATGATAGTTGCCTTATCACGCGAAACGTTATGACAAATATTTAGGACAAAGTTTATGTCTGAAAAGACATGATGACTCATCGACCTGATGATGAAGGCAGCAAGCACTTATGAAATGTGGTAAACTTTTACCACACTACACGGTGTTGCAACACGGAAGACGGCCATCATCATTAACATTCTTGATTGTCATAGGAATGGCTTGACGAATACTTAATATGGAATCCGTCAGATTATGACGGCTTGGACACTCTTCATGTCGACAGCTACGACATCTGGGTGCCAGAGATCTCGCAGTTCGCATCGTAAGTGAATCATTCATGATTTATAGGAATATCAAACTGAGGACCACGGAGCGGTTGCGGTCCTTGAAGATGTTCACTCCGACGAGCCTTTATAAATTGCTACACTGCAATGCAATGGAGATGTTTGTATTCTAAATGATTATAGTTCGTGATTATAGGCCAACCAGTGACGAGGCTAACAGCGTAAACGAGGAATTATACAATTCAATTTATCTGCACAGCGTCCACTTTTAAGGATTTAAACCACATCAAATTTTCTCAATACAATTGTCCCCGTTGTCGCCTCAGCTTCAGAATAACGCCATCTCGATACTAATTATCGTTCAAACTTAAAAGACGCAATGTTAAAGTGGATTCTGGTGGCATGATGTAGGTATAAAGTTCAGTTAAATTACGTTATTTGGTTCAAAATTTGTTCGGGGAAACACATGGGCATGATTATACAGTGACTTGCCTTTCTTCATAAATATAGGAATTTAGATTACAATGGAAACGAGGGCTTTATTGTTATTCGCCGGAATTTGCAGTACTGCCACGTGGAACGAAGAAACGAAGATGCCCAGTGGCAGGTGCGAGGTGAAACCAAATGGAAAAGTTAGCTGCATTCCGTCAACGGCGTATTTCATGCTTTGTAGACCAGACTTAACCTACTGGCCTTACGACAAGGTGAACTGTTCGCTTCGACTAGGCGCCTGGATGCAGGGCGGTGAGGAGATTAATATCACCACCGGTCAGGAAAATGTGAGTACGAACAACGTTGGAAAACATTAAGGCTTTTAAGTTTAGAAAAATACGAGGTGCGATCGGAAAGTTTCAAGACTGTGTCAATAGAGGGCGAACCGGATGTAGTACGAGCTTCTGCCGCTAAGGGGTGCGGCCTACATTCATAGTGAATCAGTGTGCCAGCCAGCATCATCGAATTAGCATTTGTTTCTTAGTTACGGGCGTTTTGGTAGTGCATTACACCGACCCTCCTGCGATTTCGGAATGGCGTGTGCATCAAATTTTGCCAAAGACTCGCCAAAACGGCTACGGAAACCTATGAAATCCTAAAGCAAGCATTTGGGGAGTCCGCAAACTTTGGTGTGGCATTCACGTTTTAAAAATGACCGAACCTCTGTCGATGATGAGGAAGAACTCCGCATGCGACGCATCGCAGCCAAGTTTGTGCCAAGGCTCCTGTCTGAGGACCAGAAGCAGTTCGGCAGTTTTTGGCCTCAAACACCATGGCCGTCATCCCGCACCCTCCTTATTCGCCGTGTGCCTTCTTCCTCTTCCCAAAGATGAAAATTCAGCTAAAGGGATGGAGATTTGAGACGATAGAAGAGATTGAGGCAGAATCGCAGATGGTGCTTGACAGGCTGGCAAAGAAAGATTTCCAGGGATGCTTCCAGGCTTGGCAGCGGCGCTGGGATCGTTGTGTTCACTCCCAGGGGAACTACTTCGAGGGTGATGGATGAATTTAATACCTGAGATAAGTGTACGGGTTTTTATACGCGCAGTCTTGAAACCTTTCGATCGCACCTCGTATCACTTTTTTGCTGTCCTCACATAGAAACACTCGCTCATAATATCTGTCTCATAGAGTTATTCTGATTGATCTTCTCCCAAGCTTCACGGAAAAAATTGATAGGCAGTGTCGGACACTGCCGCAGTTATTTTCGTGAAAACGTCAATCGTGTATACTATATTGAAATTAAACAAAATTTTTGTTTTGAATCGTTTAATTCATTTGCAACTTACATTTATTGAATACAGGGTAGTGGTGTGAGAAGTAGGATACATATGGCTTTGAAATTATTATATTATTCTGGTTTTACTTTGCCCTCATATATCGCAACATTTTAATAAAATCGGGAAATGTTTTCAAACTTTTTCAAATTCACAGACTCGTATCTTTTTGAGTTTCTGAGATACACACTTGGAGGCTAGGATGAGTTGTAACATATACACTCCTCTTCAAAACAACACTTGGTTCACTCGGATCGGATAATTAGTCTCTGAGATATAATCCAGTTTATGGACACGTGTCGAATCCTGAAAGTCAAAAATCGTGGGTTCAATTTGCGCGTGCGCAGTTCGCGACGTCCGGCCGCCACGAATGTCGGAGCGGTACTGACACAAACTTTCATCCTTCCTCTTTAAAACGAGACTAAGATGGCGGCTCTATGTCTATTTTTAGCCGAGTTATTGAAGTTTAAAATTACTTCGACTGAAACTGTCGCTCATTTGGGCGCGATTGCCTGCCTACACCCGGCATCGATTTTAAAGACGTTTTCACGTCAAAAGGAATCCGTCACAGTGGTCATAGTTTATAAAGAGATACGCGAAGATAATATTTTCTGAGAATCCTTACTTTCTCTCAGCTACCAGTCATATTGTTACAATTCTACCAGCATTTTTCAAAATACTTATAGATAATCCCTTGGTTCACTGCACCATAATTACAAATCATATCGCAAATTTTGTGTCATGTTTAAGGTTGATTTGCTTAATTATAAACCTAATCGCGAGTGGAATCTGCTATCTGCAACTGCCAGGGTGCATCTGGAGGACTACGGAAACAATTCAACGTTCTCTTGGATTCAATACAGCTTCGTCTTACAGAGACACTCCAGCATGTACGAAGCCACGCTGGGTGTGTCGGCATTACGTAAGAAATTTATCACACTTATCAAGTACTGTAATGCGTAAATCAAAGAATATCAAACATTGCTTTACCTTAAATCAAGATTCCCCCATGCGTATATCAACTAATTTATTCCATGGACAAGATTCCACCTTGAAGAGCTGATAGTCGCTCAGCTGGTCAAAGCATTTCCAGCCTTCACAGTCCATCACAGGACTTTATACTGAACCAGTTGAAATATTATCATTCGGTCTGCGCATTAATCTCCCAGGAGGTTTTTCTATCAGGTATTAGGCTTTATGCATGCTACATGACCCGCCAATCTCACCCTCCTTAATTATCATCGTAATATTTTGTGAATGGCATATACAAATTATACAGCTCCTCGATATCTATCTATCTATTAGTAGCTTAACCCAGTAACGTGTCATTTCCGACTCCTTTTGGAGGTTTCTTATTCTTTGAAGCGTGCATTTATGCGTAGTGAGTGCAAACTTTTTTAATTTTGAAGTCACTTCCTCCATGTTATGTCTAAGGGTCTGCCATAACGGCGTCAAGTTTAATTGTTCTTCTATCTTTGTCTAGTTTCTTCAGGATATCAATAATGGTACCGCGCTATTGGTGTTGGTTTGTCATATTTTTTGTTGCGTATAAAATTGTATAACCAAAATGCATAACAATATGAAGAACATTAAGCTTTTTATAATTTATGTATTCATAGCGGTCAGAACGCTGGGCTTGTAATCCTGGGGGCTCGGGTTCGATTCCCGGCGGTGCCCGCATTTATAACTTGTGTTGGGCAAGGCCGTGGTCTAGGCAACACGGAGTTTTCCTCCGGGGGCTTCCCCGGTTTCTCCGTGTCATCCAAACAATTACTCCATTCACACACAGAAGAAGGCAATGGCAAACCACTTCTGGATCATCTGCCAAGAACGTATATGAACAGGTCCCAGTCCGAGAAAAGGATGGAAGGATCCTGTTCATATGGACCTGTCATCAGACAGAACACTAAATAATAATAATAACATGGAGTATATACACACACATTTATGTATAAATACATTGACACATACAGCAATTTCGTTATGCCATAAAATAGTGAAGGGAATTTTGCTGTGCCGAAACACGAAAAAGGCTGAGACGCACTTGCCTCTTCATCCTCAGTGTTTGCCGTCATAGTGCTGACCACATTCTGGCTTCGACGTGAAGGACCAAGCCGCCTCAACCTGTCGTGTGTCAGCCTGATGTGCCATTACCTGCAACTCCAGTATCTGGGATGGATGTTGGAGAACAACGGTGACAATTGTCCTTTAATAGGTGAGTTTACACAGCGGGATAATATTAAAATGTACTGAAGTGTGTAAACTTAAAACTAAATTGAACCCACTCGGATATGGTCTAATGGTGGGATTTTGTGCACCTTTAAACCATGTTTCCTGGGAGAGTACACTATTGGTCACTTCAAATTCTAGTAACTTATTTATTTTATTTTGTTTTATTGATCTCTCAGTGTTAAAAATATAGAACGTGTTCCAGGGGTTGCGAGTGCCAGTTTTATACTTTATTTTCCAAACAATATAATAGTCAACTTGGTTCTTGTCACTTTTATAATTAATTTGAATAAACCAAATGAAATTTTTTTCGCGATAATAAACATTTCGAGATATATGACTGTTACCGTAAGATATTCCTGATTAACAGACATCAGAGGGTTTTTTCTGAGGACCTGTTTCCTATCTGTATCACATTGTACAGTACAAATAATGGGAAATAAGTCTTATTGTTACTAACACGTCTACACATACTCATTTGTGGTATTAACTTCAGGACGCTCTCTAATCACTCTTAAGGAACATTCACATATAAAATTATGCATGGGACCATAAAAAATTACGTAATTTGTCGTGAATCCACCGTCGATAATTTACGTAAAAAATTAATCACGACTGACATCCTTAGTGAGGGCTCTGTTAAAACAATTTTCTGAACACACTCTGCAAGTCATTAAAATGAAATAAAAAACCAAAAAATTGACATCCTGAATAATAATTTTTCTGTCTAGGATTTTAAATACAGCGTTAATCATAATTTGGTTGACGGAACCACAGCTGTTTGCGGATCGATGTCTTTCCCATTAAATTCTTTAGATTTATAGCCCTTAACTTTATTCTGTAGATCCTAATTTTCTATTCACACTTAGTTTCTTTATAGAACGAATGTTTCCATCATATAAAATCATGTAAACATCCACTACTTTCATCCACATACCATTATACAGTCTGGTGAGAACACGCTTAACCCAATGACATACTCAAAATACTTTTATAAAACTAATTCAAGGATTTAAAAATAAATGACTCATAACAAAGTTTCTCTACTGACATATTATCTTAGTTGTCTAATAAGTAGACTATTTTATGTTTCATCCAGTGACATTTCAAAGCCCTGTAAGTGTCCAACTTCACACGGAAGGGCTGACGCCATTTTGTGAACTTTTAATTTTAATTTCGTTCCAGTTCTCTTCTTTCGGGATTCGATGTTGTTGTCAGGGCTGTCACTGGTGGTTGCCATCATTGAGCGATGTTTGATCTCCAATTTAGAATCCTGCCCTCATTGGATGTCTGGGATCATAAGATGGACACTGAGCTTCCGTCCCGGCCAACTCCTCCTTCTGTCAAAACAATCACCTGACGTAAATATTTCAAAAATCTATTTAGGAAAGTAACCGTTAGATAACAAGAAATCAGGGCACATATGTACATATTTTAAGGGTTTCAGTGATTTCTTGGAAAACGTAACAGGACGAGGAAGAGGCTGTTTTAACTTCATCTTTAATTTGGGAGAGAGGGGTAGGTTAGCATAGTTGTTTCCTATTCATCTTCTGCTTCTAAAGATAACGGAATGAGATTCGTAGGAAACTCTTAGTAATTTTTTGTTTTTGAAGCTAAGTTCGAAGCTGATGACTGCCGTCTAATAGGCCCGTAGGTTAAATCCAATTAATTAAATAAATTCATTGTTAAGTAATTAAATATATAATTTGTAATATTACTAAAATGACTGGTGTTTTCATTGTCGTCTTTAGGGTGCTGAGACTGCCAGGGAAGCAGGAATAGAAGAAAGGCCACAACTCGTAGAAACACTTCCTGCAGATGGCGTGCGTGGTTGGACTCTGTTCGCTATTTTGCTTAATCGCATTTGCTTTATAGTATTTACTTTCGCGTATTTATTTATGATTGTTAGATGTTTTGTCTAACAGTTACTTCCCCCCAAATATTCTCAAACTCTGAAACGGAATGATACTTTGAATTGCAATGCAGTATTTTTTCCTTGTGACGTGTTTTCGAGAGGCGAATTAATAATTTAGCAGAGAGTCAAGTGTTAAACAATGATGAAAAGAAGAAAGAAACGAATGTTTATAGCACTGATGAAATACACTGTAGACAAAAACGATCTTAGCGTTTATAATATTTATTTAAAGAAACTGAACAAAATTTAGAATTGAAACGCCACTGGAAAAATAACTAAAAAACGTTAGCTTGCGGGAGAAATGACGCAACTCCGATTACCAGTAAGAACTCAACAGCTGACATGTCAGTAAAATGGTGATTCAGAAAGCGTTTTGTTTCCATTTTACATAATTTTCCTCCGAAATCCCTGTTAAACAGTGAGAAGGAGAGAACTCTGGCATACAAAACGTCTTCCCGGATTGAGTCGCCATTTTACTACCATGTCAACAGCTGCGCTCCTAGTGGCCATCGTTAGAGTTAGCCTGCGTCACCTGAACCGCGTACAACAAACATTTTTGAAGTTATCTTTAATATGGTCTAAGTTGTATTTCTTTATGCCGTTTTATGTTTTGGTAAATAATTATTTGAAACGGCTTCTTTAAAGATCCATTCTAATAGAATACTCTTGTCTACAAATAGTAATGCTTATTATACATGTAATTCCCCCCCCCTGCTATTTCCTCCTTGTTTGGTCCAAATATCTTCTTATTCTTATTCTCCTTCTCTCTATTCTCAAAATCATCAGTCTATGTCGATTAGACAGAAGACAAGCACCGAAATACTGAGATACATTAGAAAATTAAGACAGATAAAACCCTCCAACACCAAATGTTATCGTAGGCTTGATTCGTCGCGTGCTCTCCGGGATGAAACAAGCAGACATCCTCCATAATACGTTCTTCGTGCGCATGCTCTCCAATCCATATTATCTGTCACTTCCTCTGCGTTTAGTTCCCTTCCACACCGCACTCGAGTGCTGAGCGCGTTGGTAGTCCCCTTGCAGAGGTCAGTCTTTGTTCAATCAATCCGCCGTCATGTTGTGGGCTCTGATCACAAGTCTGTTGGCAATAATGGCTGCATGCAGCGAGGTCAGCTACAGGAGGGCCTCACCGGGGCCATGGGTGACCCCAACCAAAGGTGAGCCATGGCCCAAACCACAACATCTCATCAACTACGAGGGATACGTCGTGGTCCGACCGACAGTATTCAGATTCGAGGTACGAAAACACTGCATGTTGAGGTGTTACTTAATTTGTAATGGTCAGCTGCGTACATGTGGGAAATGAGGAATTCAGAAAACATTTTGGCCGTGAGGTCTCAAGAAATGATACTGACTTAGATAACTATAAATATTCGTAGCGGGAGGATAATATTAAAATTGATGTTTGAGTAATTGGATGTGTAGTTGTGGACTGGTTTAGTTTGAGTCAGAACAGGGCTCAGTAGCGCTCTCTTTTGAAGACGGTAACGAACCTTGGAGTTCTCTAAAAGTTGAACAATTGACATACGACTGTCAACTTCTCAAGATTGTTTCATGGAGTTTAGACGCGCAGTTCATAACTTTAGATGGTGTTCGATCGGTCAGCAGAAAGTGTATCAGAGGGTTGACTATAGTTTAATCAAAAGAAAATTAAACTAATTAAGATTACGCATTTTCAACAAAATTGGAAACTATTCGTAATGTAGAGTATGATTAAACCCTTTGCAGCCGAAGCTGGGATAAATTGTATTTAAAAATTCAGTCCGTACCTCAAAGAAAACAACGCGTCTCCGTGGTCAATGCTGTGTAAGGGAATAATCACTGTTTAGTCCGAAAATCCTAGGGTACAAATTCAAACAGTCTGGTGGCAAAACCCAGCGTTACTTGTTACTGTCCTAATTGCTTTGTTTACATTTTGTTACCACTGGTCTTCAAAGGGTTAAGTTCTGTGTGCTCAGCTACGACATTGTAATTTCTTTTTTATTCTCGTTATTTTTTTACACTATTTCTCTCTCTCCCCCCATTATCCTGCCGTCCTTCGTACGTTCTCTCTCTTGTTCCTTTACCCTCCATTTTCTTCCTTCTTGTGAAGACGATTTGTCGTATCTGAGTGTCCCACGTTCAATTCTCGACACCGAAGGTTATCGTGATATTCCTCAGTCCTTACTTGCATTCTGTAATCGTGCAGGACTTGTTCGTTGGACGATTCACGAGGATTAATAACCCTTCACGTCTTCCAGCAACCAGAGAATTTTATTGTGGCTGTACATTATGATTCATCTACAAAGACCACCTGACATTTTCCTGTCGACGGAAGTTATAAAAAAAGAATTGCAAGGTCATTATTTGAAACAGGTAACGGTATTAGGCCGAACACTATTAACTAATATAGGCCTAGAATCCTGACAGGTTATTCTTTGTTTTCCCCATTTTTTACAGCGAAATGCTGAGAAAGGAAGTTGAAGTAGACAACTGCCTTCTTCACGCCACAGCACACAGGTCGTTGTTGCACTAATGTTATCAGATGACGCTGTTGCGTCTTTAGTCATTCTTGCACTGATTCGATTCCTGGACATAGTCACACAGTGGTATATTCCAACAATGGTGACATTTGAATCCAGTAGTTGCGCAACACTGGGTTCCAAAAATGGGACGTTTGTTGATAAGAAAGCGACAGACGGGCCAACGCGACGTTTTTAGCTTACACTAAAGCGTCAAGAACACGTAATATTATATGCAGTTGAAAAGTGTTGTTAAACAGTCAATAAAATCGTTTGGTCGTCGAAGATTTCAGACATCTGTAATTGGAAATTAAGAATCACTTGAATTTTTGAAAGAGGATTAAAGTTTGTAAGATAGTAAACATTTCTGTGGGCAGTTTCCTTTGATTAGTTGTTCTTGTGTGGTGCTGTATCGACTGTTGAGCGTCTGAATACCTGAGTCAGGAAACCCAGGCTCTGGTTGAGTTTCGAATCGAGTGTTTTCTGAATGCTAATCAGATAACTTTACCGCTGAGTCAACTCGTTTTGCCAATACCGTTACTTCATGAGGCTGGTCATACTCTTTTGAAATGCTCCTGATTTCCTGAAGCCCGTCAAGCGTATCTTGTGCGACGTTCATGAAGACTGTTTTGGAAGCGGACTTGTTGAATTCATTTTATCTCATGCTTATGCTGTTTCATATTCCGTCTGGCTGAGTGATGGAGAATAGGACTCGGAGTTTTGAGATCTGCGTCTGTTTGAAGCGGGGGACTGCCTGTGGAGCATAATTAATCACCTGCAGGAAAGCGCGAGAGTAACATAACCTAACTTTTCATGATATTTTGGTTGCGATTCTTGCAACAGTTGAATCTTGTACGGAAAAAAGATGAAAGTCTTGCTTCAAGATTTCGCTACAGCCATATTTAGAAAGAACTTTAAAAAATACAGACCTATTTCAACCTATACCTATCATTAAAGTAGATAACACATGCCAATGAGGTTACTTGATGTGTACAAGATTGTATGTACACATGTCAAATTAATGAGGTTACAACGATAACAATTAATTTTTCTTTCATAACAGAAAAATGTGATGGTATTTCATTAAAATATAGAACCAACGTACATTCTGTATAGGCAATGGATGAGTATAATTGACCAGATATCATGTCCGGGGTAGATTCTGACAGACGTAAACGTCATAATACATTTATGATAGTTACATTTAGAAAGATTGATGTGAATGGGCACTTTATATTCCTTCATGCATGATTTTTAACTTAAGTTAATCATTGTAGGCAATATAATTTGTCCGTTTTGAATACCATATAAAGGCGTTGGCGTTAGATGTGCTAGTAAAATTTAGATTTGTAGACTGTAGAGTGTTCGTACTTACAACGATCCTCATTCAACTCAGTTATTTTTTTGCATAATTAACTGAAAATCGCTGAATTAGCATATGAACTGGTAGTTCTCACTCGTGATAGCTCCTGGTTCGAGTCTCATTGAAGATGATGGAAATGGCTCCAAGACCATAGCTGTTTGTTTCAGCGGAGAAATTATAAGAAAGATAAATCTGTCTTGGGTTCGAATCTTGGTAAAGATGTTTTTTGTAGCTCAGTAACTAAGTAAGATAAGCAGTGACACTACGGACTAGGACAGTGCATTATAAAAAGAGCACAAACAGCAGGCTTTCGTTACAGGTAACACGTGAGGACTGCGATCTTCTCCAGGAGGCTGTGAAACGTTACTATCGTGTAATCCTGCAGACTCTGGACAGCGACGTACGGAAGAGGAAATCGCGCCGCGTTGCAGACAAGAGGTGGAAGAAGGATCCGAAATTCAAAGCTTATCTCGATTCCCTAGAGATACAACTAATGGCGCCCTGTGAAGTCCTGCCCTACTTGAATATGGACGAGCACTGTGAGTATAATTGGAAAATCGAGGGCTGACCGCGCAGGAAACGTGGCCAAGTTCAATCTCACAAACGCTTACATATCAGAGCTGCGTGGGTTAGTTTGTTGATTGTTATTTATAAGAGAGCCTCCGCACGAAGATTGTGCGCTGATAAAAGAACATCGGTTGTTAGATGGGGCATTTACTAATTAAAGTACAGGATAGTAATCGGTTAGATGGGACATTTACTAATTAGACTACAGGATAGTAATCGGTTGTCAGATGGGGCATTTACTAATTAAACTACAAGATAGTAATCGGTTGTTAGATGGGGGCATTTACTAATTAGACTACGGGATAGTAATCGGTTGTTAGATGGGGCATTTACTAATTAAACTACAGGATAGTAATCGGTTAGATGGGGCATTTACTAATTAGACTACGGGATAGTAATCGGTTGTTAGATGGGGCATTTACTAATTAAACTACAGGATAGTAATCGGTTGTTAGATGGGGCATTTACTAATTAGACTACGGGATAGTAATCGGTTGTTAGATGGGGCATTTACTAATTAAACTACAGGATAGTAATGCGTTCGACCGAACGACAGGGGCTAGTGACAGCTCTTGTGATGCAACAGCACAAATCCTACGGCAACTACTTCAGATAGTTCCCAAGAGATGTATTGGCAACTTGTCTCTCCTCCTCCTTTCGCCACCAATATCTAAGGTTTTAACACGGCCACATTTTAGCCTCGTTCTAACTCCTACGGAAATCCTATTAAATATCTCCTTCTGTCCGCATGAAGCTGAACGGATTTTCATGAAATTTGAGTTTTACTAAAATCTGTCGACATATTCCAATTTTGGCCACAATCGTAAAAAAATAAGTACACTGTACATAAATTTCTGAGTGCCTTTCTAAATGAACGCAAATAAGGCAAAAAACTAAAGGAAGATGACGTATTAAAGGTTGCACGTGTTTGAAATTTACATTATTTATAACAGATGTGTGAGCACTCTGGTATTTAAGTTGTCGTTGGGTGTGATGAGGGGGGTATTGGGGTATAAGTAATGTGAAGTACAGTTTTGTAGAGGGCCCTAAGACTTCAGTTGCTCCAGGTCTCCGATCAACGTCGATATGCGCTACTGGTAAGGAATGAAACACGACTTGCATCGTTTGTTGCAGACGAACTGAGGATAGACAGCCCAGATTTGCCGGGCGCAGCCCTCCTGACAAGTCAGTCGGTGTGGGGCGTTCTACGTGGCATAGAGACGTTTTCTCAGCTTCTATCGCTTGATGAAACAGGAACTGCGGTCAGTGTTTCAGTAGTCATTATGGGCAATTAAATCATCAGGCGAAGCAAATCTTTCCTCGCAAGGGGTTTTCTCTGTCTAACCATCTTCTTGCCAACCGTAAAGCTTACAAGCATTATCCTAGAAGAACTGAAGAAAGTAAGATGAACATTTATCAGGATAAAAAGCTTGCTGACTGAGATTCGAATCTGTGATATCGCGAATATGAAACACGAATTCTAAGCAATCGACTAAAACACTGCACAGAATAAGATCTCTTGAGAGTGAAGTGATAAAACTTAGATTTTATAGGATTCAGACATCAATACGAGGTTCGATCGGAAAGTTTCAAGACTGCGCGTATAAAAACCCGTACACTTATCTCAGGTATTAAATTCATCCATCACCCTCGAAGTAGTTCCCCTGGGAGTGAACACAACGATCCCAGCGCCGCTGCCAAGCCTGGAAGCATCCCTGGAAATCTTTCTTTGTCAGCAGTCTGGAAACCTTCCGATCGCACCTCGTATGACCCTAACCACTGCTTTCCTTCTACCAGCTAAGTGAATTCACCATGAGAAACATATTTGCTCTCTTACAGCTGTGCAAGAACGTTTGAATCACCCTGTATAATCAGGTTTTTAACATCAAGGCCAATGGAATGCGTAAAATAACAAACAACACAAGAATAAATTAAAATTGTATTGGAGTACACCTTATACAGCACAATGTCAAAATAACGCTCTTTAATCTTTGTGTTACAATTACATCAGCTGAAAGTGAACAGTTCCTCCATCATGGACTTCCCACGTTACTCACACCGCGGCCTACTTCTGGATACGTCACGCCACTTCTTTCCACTGCTTTCCATATTGCAAACGCTCGACGCCATGGAAGTAAACAAAATGAATGTCTTTCACTGGCACATTGTGGATGATAACAGCTTCCCATATGAGAGCGCAGCCTTCCCACAGCTGAGGTAAATACGTACCTAGACAAATATTCTATGAACCGTCGCTCCAGTTTGTTCTTGGCTACTTATTAATCTTGAAATAACTACTGAAGTTACGTGATTCTGCCATTTTTATGATATGCTGGCAAAACATTGTGGTCACGTGGTTAGTACTCCTGTTTCATATTTGGGATTATTCTCATTGTAGTGACTAGTTGTCCTAAGATACTTCGTTACAACCTCAGCCAGTCAAGGCTAATACTCTGAATATGCCTTAAAATATGTCGTGACCACTTTCTTATAATTTATAATTTTCAGTTACCTTGCTTTGAGTAATTGACACTGTTGAGAAATCGTCATTAATTAAGTAAGGTTAAATTAAAAGAAACCAAATTTAAGAGTTTTAGTCCGTTTAAAATTAAGCCAAAAATCTCTGAATTAACATTTTTAGCCCATTATCAGGTGCTTTTATAGTGTAAGTGGACATCAGCTACTTAGTAAACAAATTTTAATCTAAAAAAATAATTCTAAATATACTAAAAATCTTATGTAATATTTTTTTAAACTCAACTTTTGACTTAATTTGACAGAAATAATTATTTCCAGAAATGGACTTACTGATAAAACTTACGAAGATCAAATAATTATTATTAATTATTATACGTAACTTACGTAACACTTACATAACACATGTACGTGTGCATTAAAGAATCTTATGATCATAAGTCAGAATATGCTGTAGAAAAATAAAGAAATATTGTCACTACAGTACAATTCCCCTCTAGTTGTGTAGACAATGACGAAAAATGATTTAGTACTACACCAGACGAAAAGCTCGAAGGAACAGGAACAATTTTATTCGTCATAACCTGAACAGACCAAGAACTGGCTACATGATGATGGCAAATGTGTGCAGAAACATTCTCTATAGGGAGGGGATGTTCCTGCGAATGAAAACCACGTATTTATGAATATACTGGATACTGGGACGACCCGTTCTTCAAGTGCCTGAGCACTGCGGGTCCCAACTTTTCGTTGGCTCGATCTATGGACATTTGGTAGGACTCCTTGGGCGAGGGATCGGCCCGTCGCAAGGCACAGGACAGCACAACACAGAAAAACGCGGACAAACATCCATGGCTTGAGTGGGATTCGAACCCACGGTCCCAACGACCAAGCGGCACAAGGCCCACGCCTCAGACCGCGCGGCCACTGCAGCAAACTAAAGAGATGCAGATTGGTGTACATCTGTGTTGATGTCAAGCAGGAAAATAGAGAATGTATAGGAGATGTCGCCAAAATTCAAAATAATAAATATCAAGAAATAAATATAAAACCCTGATAATTACCAAGAATAAATATTTGCCCGTGTCTTCCTATCTCTTTGGTCAAGAATGAGTAGGAGCTATATGACCACTCCCCCCCAAGTGCCTGCATGGCGTATAGTGGGACAGCTTTACTTTACTTTACTTTATCTGTTTGGTTTCTTTAGCAAGCACAGATAATTCAGTTCATTTTTTTAATTGTCTCTCCGATCAATATACAACGCAATGGAAAAGTCACAACATTCATATTAAAATATTTATTGATGGTTGCAATTCAGTACATTGTTTCGAAACCTCGATCAAAGCCTCGGACAGACGGACCTAACAGAGGATCGAATGGAAGAGGAGAATTGAGGAGGCCATGGACTGAACACGGGCCGGAGAGCCATAGAAGAATAATTCAGTACATTTTAATTGGATTAATAAACATAGAGTATTGATTAGACTACACAAGAGCCCACGCAGGTCACATCATGTTGCAACCTGCTTGCGCCAGTCTATAAGCCGTCTTAAAACTGTGCAAAAATGTCTTTATCGAAAACTGCTTGGTATCTCGTTCTTACTTAACTTGTCAGAATGAGTTTACTGATACATTTCCCGATTCTCCCGTGACAAACAAAATTACAATATTTCATCTCGTTAACCGTTTCCGATATACAGGAAGCGTGCAGGACAGAAACTGTTCCAGTCTACTTTCGGTGTTAAGTGACGATGGTTCAAACAATATCTGTCAAATCTTGTTACGCTTTCCACGAAAGTCACTGAGAAAACTTCTCTTCAGAGTGGATTATCTTGTGGAAGTAAACATAAAACTTCATCCATATTATATATATGCCATGTACAAACTCAGGAACCTGATAAGAAAAAAATACTTTTGATTGTTTTCACATTTAGATAAATTTGGCGTCCTGTCTCTCAATTGAGGAAAATTTTCTTTAGTGAAATGATAACAGTTGAATGTTACTGGGAACTGAGTATGAATTTCATTTCTCCTATGGACGTTGATGAACAAGATGGGCTGTGGGCATGCAGAAAATTATACAACGCAGATACTGGGAAAGTTTTTTGGTGGTCATGGTATTTTTCAAAGCTTGTGGCCCTCTCACACCCCAGCTTTATTGCCAGTTTACTCCTATCTTCGGGGCTCTATGTAGGAGAATGTGTACAAAAACAAGAAGAAATTAAACAAAATATTGAACTGCACATTTTAAATGTTGCTGCAGAAACTCTTCACGGAGTCGTGCCAAATATTATGAAAAGTGACGGACATTTTCAGTTCAATTCAATTCAATTCTTTATTATTAGTATGACGTTATTTTTGTTTTCTGATTTCAATTTTATTTATTTTTTGACAAATAGAAGATGTGTCAGGAATGGGTTGTGCGACTTTTCAAACACTGCGGTTTATAAACGTGACAATTCACAGAGCCTTTGAAGGAAAGGTAATGAGAAAAAGATGAGGGATTTAAGTGGTAAATAATGTCTCGCATCAGAAAGTTTTGAGCATATCTGGGGGTTCTTTCTGTTACAGTGAGAAAGGAGCATACAATCCTCAAACACACGTGTACCCCCGAGAACAAATTCGCTTGGTGATTGAATATGCTCGCTTAAGAGGCATTAGGGTCATACCTGAATTTGACACTCCAGGTAAGGAACAGATGTCTTTGTACATTTGTTTAAAAATAAGAGTTAACATAGAAAATAATTAAAGCCAAGATGCATACCACTTCGTAAAGAGAGTGGCTTTGGGCTCGTTTACTGTATACAGGCCATCTCTTGAGTGCATTGAGTGTCCTCTCTAGCACACTGTTTTACTTTATTCACAATCATAAGAGAAAACTTGTCATTGCAGATTCTACGTAAATATTCATAGCAAGTAAAATTGGTATGTTCTTTGAATAAAAATTTCCTTGGATATTATCCATCGTCTAGTAAAATATAAAGTGTAAAACAACGTTTCGGAGATAGAGTCCCATCTCCGAAACGTCGTTTTACGTTTTATATTTTATATTTTACTAGACGATGGATAATATCCAAGGAAATTTTTATTCAAATAACTCTTCACCATCGTCAAGAAGTTTTAGATTTGGTATGTTGTTAATTATTATTAAACATCTGTAGGTCATACTCAGTCATGGGGCTTAGGCCAGCCAGGTCTCCTGACACCCTGCTACTCAGGATCCAAACCCGATGGCACATACGGACCCGTGGATCCGATACAGGAAACTAATTACAAGTTTCTTAAAAAGTTCCTGAGTGAAGCAGTGAAATTGTTTCCTGAAAAATATGTTCATTTAGGTGGTGATGAGGTCAACTTTGATTGTTGGTAATTATTATTTTAAAGATACTTTTCTGTTAGAAAATTACTTGTACGGAACAGGCCGGCTCCGAGGCTCACCCAATCTGGGGGCCCAATAGGTAAAGCAGCTGGAGCATGAAGGTAAACACTCAATTTTGTGTAGTGCTAAGGCTAAGAATGTTTGCAGCTGACCACTCGCTCCCTTTTAGTACTTTGCTTCCAGATGACAGAAAATTACTCTTTATTTAATATTATCATGAAACTTATCACAGCAGAAATATGAACATGAATATGGAATAAACTATTATCAGCTCCATTTGCAAGTTTAGTACGTTCAGTTGGTGTTTCGAGATAAAACTGGAGAGATGATTAAATACGAGACGAAACAAACTTAACGGAATATTATAACTGTTGGATGTTTGACTAACGAAGTTGTTTGTAAGTTTCACTGATAATTCAGTACATATCCAAATGGCCACTAGCTAGAAAAATTCTCGGTGAAAGTTTGTATGCATTTTTCTTCTTCATCCGAACTAAACAGTCAGCAAATCCCTGAGATAACGGATTTGACTGTTAGTTACGCAATATAATCTGATGTATTAAATTCTATGTAACAAATTTATTCACAATTTTAGAGGTGTGATCTTAGAACCCCTCTGTTTACAAACAGTAGTTAACAGATACTTTCAATTGCATGATAATATTAAACAATATTTTAGGTTCTTAAAGCAATAAATATAATAGTGGTCTTCTGTGATGTGATGCCATGTGATCTTGTAGATGCTTACTGATGTTTGTGCTGAAGATAGAGGTGACACTGCTGAGAAATATATAGATTCATAACCCGGAAGACCGCTATCTACTTATAAAATGAGGTTTGGGTTTTGTAAATGTGGTAAGATAAATTCCAGTAGAAGCTTTATGTGACACTACGAATGTGACTCAAAGAATGGAGACAGAGGCATTATTAATGAAATAATTTTAAAATAATGCCATATTTTAGTTAATCAGATTTCACTTACGAATAGATGATAATATCTTTCAGGGCTACTAATCCAAATATCCTCAGATTCATGGAATCCCTTAACATAACAGGAAATTTTAATAAACTGGAAGAGATCTATATCCAACGACTGGTTGATATCGTCTCCAATTTAAGTGCCAACTCAGTTGTTTGGCAAGAAGTGTTTGACAATGGAGTCATGTTGCCAAAAGATACAGTTGTCCATATTTGGACAGGAGACATGCAAGAGGAACTAGCAAAGGTGAGGAAATGAGACATAACAAATTACTCTAACATTGTAAATTAATGTCTGTAGATATATGATTATTTTATTTGCTTTCTTTGTTGACAAAATAACTTATATAAATTATACCCTTTTACCCCTTTAACACATTCACATCTATGTAGCTTCGTACCTGTCTGCACTGGACTATAAGCTATAATGAATTTTCTTTAACTTTCATCCTCATCTACATCTGTGCAATGCAGCTTATGTATGATCCAGGTGGCTGTGTATCACACTTCCTGGAGATAAAGTCTGTCTAGGAGTTTAAATCACATATTCCCATATAATAGAAGTCAGACTGACATTACGTGAAATCTCTCAATTTTTCTTTAAATTTTTAACGTAAATACGTCTATAAGGAAGGGTCATTCGGCAAAAGAGTGGAACGAAAAAGGGAAACGAAAAAATATAACAAGTGTACCTAGGGAACGTCGTGTTTACTCAGAATTGTTGTTACCTAGGAAACGTCAGCCAATATATAAACTTCCTTTCCGTATAGATGTATTTACGTCAAATTCTCCGGAACCGTGGTTCCACTGACAACTATTTTTAGTCTCCATCTTGAAAAGTATCTAATGAACTTTCATGGTGTAGTAAATTATAAAATGTTCTCCCCTAAATAGGGAAATTTATTTTCCTAGCCATCTTGATCATCAGAAATCTTGATCAACTTCTGTCAATTTCAAAATTCCTTTTTATCCTGTTTAACTTACTGTTGTCATGTTTTGTTTTTCATGATGTCTGACACCAGCTTCCGATAGAACAATCAACTACTTATGTCTATCAAGAAATAAATTAAATATTATCTTTTAAATCTAATGCAGTGTAAAACACAGTTCCCTGTGATCCTGTTGTCAAGTCAATGAAACAGAAAACTTCCTCCTTGAGATGTTTCGTGTGCTTTGTCTCCAATTCTCTGTAATACATTATTAGTATTTGTACATCAAGAGGCTTAGAACAGTTTTTAAGTAACAGATGTAAGAGTTGGTTTGAAAATATTTGATACTTGACTTTTGGTTTCCTGGTTTGCTGCAGGTGACAGCAGAAGGCCATCCTGCTCTTGTCTCTCAGTGCTGGTATCTTGATCACCTTGAAAGTGGTGGTGACTGGCATAAATTTTATGAATGTGATCCAAATAACTTTAATGGTACTGAGGCTCAGAAGACCCTGGTTATGGGTGGTGAAGCTTGCATGTGGAGTGAATTTGTAGATGCTTCAAATCTGTCTCCAAGGGTGTGGCCTAGAGCAGCTGCTGCAGCTGAACGACTGTGGTCTTCTGTAACCGTGGATTTTGATGAGGCAGGCAGACGACTGGAAGAGCACGTATGCCGCCTTAAC